TCAGAGGGTCTTGGGCTTGTGGAAATTTCTGGAACCCTACTAAACATAGTAGTAGAATAGATAATCATCCATTCAGAAATGTGACACGTGACTCATCACTTTCTAGTTGTTTCTGAGAAACTTCTATTGAATGCTGATTGGACGAAGTGTTTCCTCTTTGGGTTTCTTTCAAGAAAATCTCTGGGTCTCCCCAACAAACTTAATGTTCTGATAGCGACCGTGCCAGAAAATCCATAGTTTAGAGTTTAAATACGTGCAACTTTACTGAGGATTAAAAATAGGTTTTATCACAGGCCATTACTATATAACCTTTGTTTGGTAAATCACGAAACTACACCATTGCATATTTCCTCGATTCAGATATCTCCAAGCATTTTTTGTCCCACTGAACCATATGAAATAATTTAAAAGTGCTCTCAACATAGAATTTATGAAGAAAAATTGAATGGATAATTCTACTGTAAAACTATTTATTTAGTTAACTGAATTTTGTTCTGTAATCTGATTATTTGCAATTTCCATCCAAGCCACAGTAAACTTTTCATTGGTTAGGTCTTAATGGACATTTGTTTCGATCGTAATTCTTTCGGTTTATAGATGTAAAAATATGGACATTTCTTTTACATTATAAAAACTGAATAACATTTTCAGAGCAAAATTCAAAGCAAAAATGTAAGAATAGAAAAATGCTAGAAAAAAACACACAATTATTTATAGGAATTGGAGTCAAGTTATTAAATTTCTCTAGACGTGTTATTCATCTAGTACTCATCTAGTATTTAGATATGTAAGTTCTACACTTGAATAATATCTACTTTCAGCCTAGTTCATTTAAGTAAGTTGGAAATTTTTAAAAAAAATAATGGATTATTGTTTAATTGTTTTCAGTTACAGTTATTGCAAATAGTTTCACTTGTTTAGTAATGTTATAACAAACCATAATGGATAGAACTAATAAATACATCCTACAAAAATATCACTAACGTATATCAGCATATCTCGACAAACATAAACAAGTAAATGTGTTTGGTTGTATATATGTGGAAATGAAAAATAAACTCAGAAAGAATGTGTCGTTCAACAATATACTACTATTCCCTTTATATTTTCTAAGTGAACAGAAAATAAAAGATTCAAGAACTAACATAAAATAATTTTAATGTAGTCCACTTTAAGGTTAATTGGCATTTACTGTACCGGAAAATTTTGATTATATTAAGAATGGAGTTAAAATAAACAAATAAAAAAACAAACGATGAAAAAACAAATGATAATTAAGAGTATTCGAATTTCTCACTTAGATTTTCTATACAATCAAATGATGAGTTAGTAAAGTGATGTATTGAAAAGTTATCCTGACCTTAACTAAGCATTTATAGACTATTATCATTATTATTACTCTTATTATTAGTATAACTACTTGTAAAATGAATAGCGGAATTTCTATTTTACGCTTGTTGTGTTGCGTGTCGACTAGAGTAAGAGATAAGTGTGTGTTATGTTATTTTAATGATGTGTTTTTCTCACTCGTTATATATGTGATAATGTCCAATAGTTAAAACGAATTGTCCGGATTTCCGATTTGAGCATTCGAAAAACAAGAACATACTGTTGTTTTCTTTTTTCTTGTTCAGATAGACATAACTTGGAAAATAAATGAGTCTATACACTAATGACTGTATATTTACGTATTTGTAAGCATGTACAAACTATTATGGAATGCATATGTTTGTTTTCACAACACAGACTAGTGTTACCTTCCCAATACACTGATATATTCAGATTCAAGATAACATTGAATTTTACTCTAAATTACGTTTAGTATCGTAGAGTCTAGTCAAAACAACGAATTTTTCTTGAAAATGAGTAATGTAACCTTTAATATATATCTACCAAAAATTAAATATCGTGTACCTCACAATATCGAAATGTTTTGAATATCAGTATTTTGAAGAAATTTAAATAACGATTGATAGTTCACTTTTATGAGAATATCATTTAAATAGTAATAAACAGAAATGAGTAGATTCTGTCACATTTTGGAAACCATAATCTTTATATGGAGAACCGGATGTAATTCGGTGTATTGCATGTAAGTTAGCTGAAATCTCCTACTATATAAACTCCGTGATCCATCTAGATTACTCAAGGTCCTTATATGTCGCAAAATTTATTCAGTATTCGATGTAATTCAGAAATATTTAATGATACTAAAATTCTTAAATTCTAAAGGATTTTTTCCTTACCTAATATTACACAGAAATATCAACATCAGACTAAAACTATTCAGGATCAAAGGTGTTTACTCGTGTCCTGCTTACTATAGAGTTATATTATACATGTACCATAACTATGTTTATTCCATCTCTAGCTATTCATTAGGTTACTCATTGACTGAAATGATACTTACGATGAAAATTTATTGTAAGATGCGTTTTCTACTTACTAATAAAAAGTAGTATAAAGCGTTTACAGAATTGAATAAGACCATGACAAAATGAAATTTTGTCAAAATCTTTGCGACAGGTAGACAGAATTCAGTAAAGTTTTCAAATGATAAATTATAGTACATATATTAAATCCGTCCAGTGCTTACATTATTCTGATACAGCACTATATGAATCTGATAGTTTCCAATCATCCTTTCCGTTAGTTGGATATGCCTACCCAACAATGTTGGTGTTCACACTGTGACCCACTTTCATACGTAGCATGAGGAACCATGAAATTTCTGAACCTACCAAATTAAACACCATGTTCATGGAAGTGAGATATAATGCGATGACTAGGATATTCCATATTCAGTCATAAACTGAGGACGTGACTGTTGCATCTTCAGTCAAAACCAAAGCCTGAGCAGCTATCGTGAGTTAATTTCCACGTGACTGAAGTCAGGCAGTTAATTACAAAGATCCTAGAATTTCAATCATTTTATGACTGGAGTGATTGAATACTTAGGATGTATAGTCCAAGTACAGTTATTAATTAATGTCCGTAAAGATAAAAAAAATTCACGATATTTCTCCTTCACAAGTTTGTATTATTATTATTATTATTATTATTATTATTATTATTATTATTATTATTATTATTGAGTTCGTTCACGGTTGAGGGGTTAATCCTGATGTTGTCTTCAAGTTGCATTTGAATAGTAGCTAGACATCAATCAGAAATACTGTCACACATTCGAGATCTAAATTACTGTTACTACTCATTGATTTTACTTGTTGAATGAATTTTCCTCCATTTAACGCAATCTTTTTTTCTAAATTTTGTGCTCATGGTTGTTTAGCGTAATCCATGAATAAGAGCATTAAAATGTTAGGAGGAGCCCTGAAGACTCCAATGGAACTTATCTTTCATATTTCCTTAAATGTGACAGCCGGTTTCCCGATTAACAGAAACATATTTTAATAGTTGAATCCACGAGTCGATGTAAGTTAGACCACCATTGAAAACCTGGAAGCACCGGATGGCCGTTTCGTTCTAGTATGGGACTCCTTAGCAGTGCAAATCCATGACTCGGCATGAGGGACCCAAACCCTGGACCTTAGGTTTCGCGGGCGAACACTTAGTCTCTAGACCACTGAGCCGGTACCTAATGGTGTTAATGTCTATTTTCACTCGATCCATGAATGGTTGCGCAACCATTCATCCATTGTCTGGGGTAGATCCCTGTCTCTACCCGACACGGATTGGACTCCAGTAGTCACGGCTTTTCGCTTGCGAGACCGTAGATGGGCACTGCTGAGGAGTCCCATACTAGAACGAAACGGCCATCCGGTGCTTCCAGGTTTTCAATGGTAGTCTAGCTTACATTGACTCATGGGTTCAACTATTAAAATGTTTCTGTTCATTAGGAAACCAACTGTCACATTTAAGGAAATATGAAAGATAAGTTCTATTGGAGTCTTCAGGGATCCTGCTAACATCTCCACAAACCTCATTCTAGTTTCAAGCATATTTGTTATAAAAAAACATTTGGTAGATCAAAGGAATTACTGTGATCCTGTCAAAAAGACCTTTTACTGTTCCTCAAGTTAATAATAACATTACGGTTAATAACGCACAGTACGGAAATAGGAAAAATAGGCCGTGTGAGACAGGAATCCTCACATCTCTTTCATTTTCATACCAAACCTCGATGTACTGGAAATTTTTTTTATATCCTCTGAATATTTTGTGGAGGTGTTTGAAGCTATTTCATCTGAATAAACTTACTTAATCTTTGTTATTTTTATGGACAAGAACAAAGAAATGTGTGTGATCCTCCACATTCAAAATTTACACAATGTTTAATGAAGCACTGAAAACAATGTGAAGTTTGTCCTACGAGCTATTTTTCCTTATTGATTACTTCACACATAAAACATTTCCGAATCACAACTGGATATTCAAGTGACAGCAACATCATACGGTTGAATCAAGAAAGTGGGTATTTATGCTGTATGTAGTAAAATTCTTAATACACCATGTTAGATATTCCGGCTGCTTGAGTTGTGCGATAGAGCTTATCATTTTTCTTGTAACTTTATGCAAGAGTAGCTTTGCTGAAGAAATATTTTTGTTCCAAATAAATGGTCTACTTACTATTTATTAGTAGTTAAATTCAATTGCTGAATTTACAATTCGACATTACGAATTGACTTGAGTCATACGACCACTAAAAACCAGATGACAGTGAACGGTTGCTTTTTTGTCTAGTATTTCTCATTTTTCAGCAGATGACAAAATAATGTTCGTTTGGCACTCACAATTGCAAATTTAGTTATTTCTATAACCCTCTATAATACCGAATGTCAATATGAAAAGAGAACCCACTTTTTATGAACAATTAATTATTACATTTTTTTGATTGTAAACAAGTTTCGTTGTTTGGAAATTCCCCGTATACATGGGATCATCGACTAAACTTTTTGTGCAACTTTTTTATTTAGATAAATCTGAGTCAAACTAGTTGTACTTTATACTTTTAACAGAAAAATCTTCATCTGAAGAGTTTAGGTGAAAAATGAAGAAGAAGAATTTCCAGATTGATGCCAATGGAAGCTGAAATCACGATCTTGAGGTTCTCTTTCACAATCAAAATAAGATTTGCTGGAATCGGAACAAGCCGTCTCAAAAAATTTCGCATCATACAGTGCTGTATCAGTATTTTGTTCAAAGTGTTCATGGAACTCTGTCGACATCTCGAAATCAGTTGGTTGAAGGTAACTCAATCCATTCTGGGTTATACTTAAACAAATAGTGTGAAAAATGCCAGTTAATATAGGAAGAAAATTAAGAGATTGTAAAGTATTAAACTTTTTATTAAATTATAAATGTCAGGATCTGACCAATTACTGAAATAATATCAAACTATTTGTCTAATCAACTGACAAGGCAATCATTCCGAGAATTCCGTTTTTAATAAGTATTGAAATAAATTCAAGCTGGTAGTAAATTCAGTAATAGAAAATATGAGGAGAATATGATGTGCTTAAAGTCAACAATAATCGCATGAAACTAAAATAATGACCTAAATTCATGCGAAAAATATGTTAGTGATGCGAATATGAGAGTTTTAAATATAGTGGCAAATATTTTGTGGTACAGACTTTTATAAGAGGTAAAACTGATAAAAGTAAGACATAATAATTAACCATGACAATATAGAAATTCAGAAGTAAAATTTATGGAAAATATTGCAAATTGTATAAGAAGTGAACTTTTTTACAAATTATATAATACATATTTGGTCAGTTCTTGCCGGATTTACGATAAGGTTATCTACATTTACATACGAGTAGATATCAGATTCAAGAGTTTCGTGATAAAAAAAATCAACTAAAATCTCCATATTTTAATGATAAAAGTTTTAACTTCAAAAATAAATGTCTTTGAATACGTAAATATCCCGAGTTATTATGAATTTATGGACTGTTAAAGCTGTATTTCCAATATACCAAGTAGACAAAAAATAATGTATGTTCAAATGTGGACATCCCGTTTATTATATGTTATATCCGTACGAAATGACTGTTCAGCTGCTTCTGATATGAATTAGTCTCTAATGTGCATAGAGATTTCGCTAAGATAAAAATAATGTTTTACTAACCATGTTGTTTTATGATACAGTGCTAGCTTAATTAATCACAATATTCGGACAGAATTCAGTTGATGGTCATGATTGAGTGACCCTCAAGCAAGATCATAGCTGTATATATCATAATCCAAGAACAACAGACTTAGTATAGCAAATCGGTTAAATGACTGACTGACTCAACATGGTACTACATTGGATTTTTTTTAAATGAGCTTTATTACTAGTGAATGCATCCTTATTCCATGGTCGCTCACTGTTTTAAAAATACTTGCCATCTAGTCTGAATATCATAAAAACCTTCTATATTTCTTGAATTTATCATTTGAACATATAAACATTGGCACAAGTTGGAACCAAATACATACATACCACATAATAGAAATGAGGTTATGAAGAGATAAAGAAAGGGAGATGAGTATAATGAAAAAGAACAAAAATTAATAGGAATTAGTGTGTGAGAGTGAAGCGATATTCAGTCGGTCAGTAACAACATAGAACTTCGTACGTACGTACATCAGTTCGAGTTGCCATACCACATTAGCACAGAAATACAATTGTCAATTCAAATCCCGTAGTGATCAAGGTAGTAAAAGTATAAGCAGTAATCGGAAAGATTAGGGTTTGAAGATGTTATTCAAAGAGTATAATCCAGTGAAATAAATTTGGAAAGAGCAAAAAAGGTACATGAAGAGTTCAGAAGATTAGAATTTGGGAGAAAACAAAGAGTGGATGCACCTGCGTCATTGCAAACGATTTTGAGCCATGTCATTCAAGGTCTCTACTTACCGGTTGCTATCGTCTCGCGGATCCCAACCAGGTAGTCTATACCTACCAACATGGCTCAGTCCACTTGTCAGCAACTTCATGGATTTGTGCCATGTTTTGGTTTGGCAGCCTCTAGATTTCTTCCATTCTACTCCTACACCACGAAACATGGCAGGTCGGGGCAGTAGGTGGTTGGGCATATGTAACACGTGTCCCAGCCATCTCAACTGATGAAGTTTCACTGCCTCATCAATCGATTTGCCATCATTACCTGGTAGCCGTTTCCTAACAACTGCGTTACTTACTCGATGGTCCCAGGATATACGATCAATGTTTCGAAGACACCTATGATCGAATACTAGTAACCTGCGAATAATGGTGATCGTCTGCTGCAACTGTGCTCAGACAATCGCTTATTTTTAGCAAACACAAATTTTAAGCATAAGGAGAGACATCGTCTAACATGGCGACCCCCTACACCAAACCAACGATGGACTCAAATAGACCATATTGCCATCAGTCATCGTTGGAGAGGGTCGGTAGAAGATTGTCGCTCATTCTGGAGTACCTGCTTGGACTCCGATCATGCCCTAATACGGGCACGCATCTGCTTGCGCCTCACCGGACGCAAAAAAGCCACATTAAAAAGACCAATTAGAACTGAATTGAGCAACGAGAAAACCAAAAATAGGTTCCAAGAACAACTGAGATCACACTTAGGTAGTTCTGAACACGAGGCTGACCCAGATGTTGCTTGGAAAGACATACAAGCAGCTGTGGAAGCAGCAGTGACATCTATTAGCAACTTAAACCACAGAGTTTCAAAGAACCAGTGGATTTCTTCAAAGTCTATCACACTGATGGATTCTCGCAAATTTGTCCCATCAGGTTCCGAACATGATGAAGAGCGACAACAAATCAGATCTAGGTTAAGAAAAAGTTTAAGAAACGACCGTGAGCAGTGGTGGGCAACGAAAGCAAAAGAGATGGAAAAGGCGGCGACTATAGGGAACACAAGACAACTTTACAGACTAATAAAAGAAACTGGAATTAATAAGTCAAGTGTAAGTGAGATTATATCGGAAAAAGACTATACTCTCATCTATTCCCAGTCCAGACGTTTAGAACGATGGGCGGAACACTTTAGGGAACAGTTCAGCTGGCCTTCAGCGACTCTACAACTACCCTCCATTCCCAGACAGCGTGAATGGAACATTGAAGTAGGTCCCCCAACTCTTGCTGAAGTTCAAAAGGCTATAGATAATCTGAAACGAGGAAGGGCAGCTGGACCAGATGGACTGGTTCCAGAAGTCTTTAAAGATGGTGGTCCAATTTTAGCGATTAGGTTGACTAATATTTTAGCTAAGATCTGGGAGTTAGACGTTATTCCATCTGACTGGTCACAATCACTTATCGTCCCAATATATAAGAAAGGGTCAAAATCATCCTGTGACAACCACAGAGGGATTAGTTTAACTAATATAATATCTAAAATACTAGCCTCGATAATTATCAGACGCCTAACTAAGACTCGTGAACTGCAAACACGAGAAAACCAAGCTGGTTTCAGACCTGGTCGTGGCTGCATCGACCACATATTCACCATTCGTCAGGTTCTAGAACACAGGCACATTTATCGGCGTCCGACGATGGTGGTCTTTCTTGACTTAAAAGCAGCATTTGACTCGGTAGACCGCGAGGTTCTGTGGCAGTGTCTGTCATTGAAAGGCGTACCTCAGAAGTACATAAACCTTGTGAAGGCTCTTTACTCGAACACTACTAGTCGAGTGAGAGCTTATGGCGAACTGTCATCTACTTTTGCAACCTCAAGTGGTGTCCGTCAAGGATGTCCACTTTCCCCATTTTTGTTTAACTTCATCATAGACCTACTGATGGAAATAACCTTCTCGTCGACTGAGTTCTCGGGTATTGATCTCTTTCCAGCAGGTCCACTTATCGACTTAGAATACGCAGATGACATAGTCCTGTTTGGTGAAGACGCTGACAAAATGCAAAGTCTTCTGGTAGCACTGAGCAACAATGCCAGAATGTTTGGAATGCGCTTCTCTCCCTCGAAATGCAAGTTGTTGCTTCAGGACTGGTCTGCGTTAACACCTGAACTAAGGATAGGGAGTGAAGTAGTCGAACGCGTTGACAACTTCACTTATCTTGGAAGTCTGATCAGCCCTAATGGGTTGGTATCGGACGAAATCTCAGCACGGATTCGAAAAGCTCGTTTGGCTTTTGCCAACTTACGTCACCTATGGCGAAGGCGAGATATCCGTCTATCAATAAAAGGACGAGTATACTGCGCGGCAGTCCGTTCTGTTTTACTTTACGGTAGCGAAACATGGCCATTAAGAGTAGAAGACACTCGCAAGCTAGTAGTATTTGACCACAGATGCCTTAGAAATATTGCTGGCGTCTGCTGGGATAATCGGGTAAGTAATAGTGAGGTTAGACGCAGGGTATTAGGAAAGGATGGTAAATCAGTTGATGAGGTTATGAATCTTCATCGACTGAGATGGTTGGGCCACGTGTTACGTATGCCTGAACACCGATTACCACGACGTGCAATGCTATCCGGTGTTGGGGATGGTTGGAAGAAAGTTAGGGGCGGCCAAACCAAAACGTGGCATCAGTGCTTGAAGTCACTAACTTCTAGTCTGAGCCATGTTGGTAGATGCAGACTACTTGGTTGGGGTCCGCGTGACTATCGTAACCAATGGTTGGAGACTCTTGGTGACATGGCTCAGAATCGATCACAATGGCGTCGGTGTATACACTCGGTTTCTTCCCTTAAACTAAGAGATTAAAAGCGCTTCATATCTTTCTTTCTACTAACCAATTCTTTCTTCTTGTACTATATCTCTATATGCAATCTTTCTCTTATATATTACCACCTTTTACCTAACCACTGTTATGAATCCGGTGTTCATTTTGTTGTGCTGATGCGGTATGGCAACCTGGACCGATGCACATAAGTGCATGGTTCTACGTTGTAGCTGACTGACTGACTGAACCTGCGAATATCCTCTACTCTTATCGACCATGTTTCGCAGCCATAAAGTAGAACGGAACGAACTGCTGTGCAGTAAACCCATACTTTGACTGGTAGACGGATACCTCACCTATGCCATAAATGACGCAAGATAGTTGAGCAGTCAGTCAGTCAGTCGGGAAGCTAGTCGAGCCTTGTGTCCGTGCTGAGGTTTCGTCACACACCAAACCACAAGGGCTGATGAGACTCCCAATATGAGTAAAGTTGTCGACACGCTCAACTACATCACTCCCTATCAGTGGTTCGGGTGTCGATGCCACCCAATCCTGAAGAAACATTTTGCATGTCGAGGGGGAGAATCGCATTGCATTGTTGCTTAGAGTG